AAGTATTACACAGCTTGGCAAAGCTGCTGTATCACTATCGAGGATATCACACGGGGTTTCAAAGCAAGGCACCTGCCATCTTTATTCATTTAATAGCTTTGCGAATGCGAAGATGTCTTGGGAAGTGGAGGCCTCTGCTGGTCTTTTGCAAAGCAATTATTCGGGCGTTTATTCCTTGTTCCTTACTTTGTTTTTTCTTTACACTTATGCTCGCCGAATTTGGGGGGAATTAAAAAATATCTCGGACGCGTTACGTTTGAAATGTACCCCTCTTTGCTCTCAATTTATACCAAGTAAAGATTTTTATGTGTGAACCCCAGGGGAAGTTCGATTCAATCCAATCCGATGAATTTCAATAAGCCCTTATTTTACGTTGCGAGACTCAGGTCAGCTGACCTGCTCTTCCATCCGTCTACGAAATTTCGCTACGCTCCTTTCACCATCTAGCGGAGAAAAACGGTATCACTCGGGCGGCAAAACAGGCGATTTTATATTTGATCTTTTACATGCGGTAAATCTACGACATGGGTCAGCCAGCTTTGCTTCCCTCCCCCCGAAGGAAGGCATACGAATATTTTTTCGCCCTTAAGAATCCACAGCTTCGGTCGGGTTTGAACCCACAAACTTGGTTACGTGGTATAACGGTTAGCCCAATTCGATAGCCGTTATAATAACTAAACCGCAAAAGGAAGATACGTTTGGCAATTATTTATAATTATATTTTAATTTATTTTCATTATCACGAAGTGCAAGTATGTTGGTTTTAATAGAATATATGTTTTTGAATGGCACACGTGCGGAGCTCTACTGGGCAGTTAAAACTCACGAAGGCGCCAGATGAATGCGCCTCCAATTACGCGTGCCGTTTAAGTGAAGTAGGCAGCCTTTTAAAGCGTCTCAACCTCCTACGTATGGCTTGCCTCGTTGGTTGCTGTAGCAACCGTGACGTTTCACGCGATAACAGCGTGGATTCCACGTCGCTGCTGTCGTGCTGGTGAAGTAGAAGCATATTCGTCTTCCACTATGAAATTAGTTCGCATCGCGCTTCTTTAAGAGTGATGTGGTGTTTCAAATAGGAATCCTGTGTATTTTATTAGAAACATCATTTTCACGTTGGAAAGCCGAAGATAATAAAGTGTTTAAGTTGTGGGTGCCCTACTGAATCTTTCAAAATATTTGATACAAAGGTTAAATATTCATTAAAAAACTACAAAATTAGTTTCAAACGGCTATAGGAGTTTAAGTGCAAACGGCGGTTTAAGAAGTTTTTGTGGTTGTGTTTTTCTTCAACTCTATAGACGTTGTTTTGTTGGACACGCTTGATTTTTAGTAATAAAAGCAAAGTTTGGGGAAAAAAAAGGTCTTGCCACTGTGGAATATAAATCGATCAAACTTGCATAAACACTCCAGAGCATGTGAAATGAAGTAATCAAATGCATTTCAGTGTACATCAATGATTTTGTACAAACAGGATATGCAAGTCTAATTTTTTATGTTCAGGTAGAGGACATAAGAGATAAATAGGATACACGTGTTTCTCATTGTCAGTGTTTCCTTGGTACGAAAGATTCACCAAAAGAGAGACACCGCGCAAGTGCTGTTACAACATTACGCATATTCGCTGATAAAAATACATCGATTACAATCTTTTGGTCAATGCGAGCTAGATGTCTGTAATCGATAAACAGTGTTCTTGTATGCTATCTTACATGAAATGTACACGTAATATTTAGGCCGAGTCTGTTTATCCAAAAGCTAGAAAGTCAATGTTTTTGAGACAGCGTTCATTGAAGCCGTCTCCCTCCCCTGTGACGTCACCGACTGCAGATATTCCTCGCGCCAACGTTACCTGTTTGGGCAGTGCACGACCTATTTGGTCTCACCTTCCTGTGTACTAACGCGTGGAGACGCGACTAGGACAGTGGGGTGTCAGAGCACGCCAGTTGATTGCAGATCGGGACTATGGTTGTAACCCACGCGTTTATTGGTTTTATGGACGCTTTGTGAGGATCTTACTTCGCCAATTTTGTATACACACCTACAGATCTTACAGGCCTACTTTATATTTTTTTTGGAACGTAGGTGTTTCGAGACATTTCGGATTACGTACATTTGAGCCCCTCACCTACCAGTTCATCGTGATTCCCCAGACAAAGGATCTCTTCAGGAAGGCGGCCAGTCCTTTAGCGGCGAGCCGCATCGAGTGAAAGTCCTGCTGTTTCGTCCAATGGCGCGTTCCTTGCTGCTCCCCTTGCGCCGTACCCTCTCGTCGCGTTCGCTCGCCAAACACTGAATCGGCGGTTGCAGTTTTGACGCCCATTAATAACTTGTCGGTCGTCCCATTACATTTTTCGTCCGTCAATGTACTACATATGTGTCTCGGTCACTGGCACCACAGTTCTATGTACTCAGAATATAATAACTTTCAGTGCCGTTTTGGATTTTACATTAATATTAATTTTCTTCGCTTTTCAATATGAATATCTTTCATATATTGTACTTACGACTTACCAGTACTGTTCTCCCATGTGTTCGGTGTCGGTCCTCTCCTGCAGTCACAAACAGAATTTTGGGTTTCGTCAGATTATTTTCCTATAAATGAGGAATGTCAAATGGTCACGTAAGTTAATCGGTTGAGTATGGCTGTTAATTCGAAGTTTTGCGTCAACTTGTTCCATATTTCACGTGTTTTGAAAGTCGATGCAGTCAGATTTCGCGTACCTGCCAAACATGAAAGCATGATTGGTTGCCTAACACTTAGGGGCAAATGTCACACATTTTAAAGAAATTTCCCACCACACGCTACATCCTTATCAAAGAGGAGAGGATAATGTAAATTATTTGTATTTTAGTTGGAGATTTTAAAATTTTTATCTGTCTCTTTTCTGCCAAACACATTTTACTTTCTCGCTGCCACTTACGCAATGGATAGAAAGCAATGTAATGCTGCGCGAAAAAAACGGCACATTTTCGGCAGAAAAACTTATTACAGGAGCCTGGTAACATAAAAGTGGATAAATACAGTTGCTAAATTTAGGGGGGCGGGGGAAATCCTCTAACACGTGGAGTAGTCCGTGTTTTGTAGGTCCTTGATAGCGAAAAATCGATTGACGGCAAAACGTCTGTATGTGAACAACGCTAGTATCTAAACTGTTCAACTGCTTTTCTCCAAAATTGATATTCTATAATAGACCTGACTGATGTCCGACCCCTTTAATTTTAATTCTGAAGGGAACTTTACGTGCAGCCCCCGGGATGTTATTATCCAAAGAAACCTCTTCCAAATTGTGGAAGGTCTTCAAATTAAGTGATGTTAAATTTTTTGAAAATAATTTTTTTTTTCTTTTTTTTGTTATTTGATGACAAACATAGTTGCCTGTTCTGACTTTACTGCACTTTGTAAACGAAAATCCAGGCAAATGCTTCGTAAGTAAGAATTTGTATATTATTTCATAGTTCTGTGTTTGTTTCTTACTTTGGAGCTTTTGTTATGCACTTACAAATTAATCTTTAGAAAATGTTGCAAACCTATTTGAAATAAAATTGCAAGCCTTCAGGGAATGTCAGATTGGAATGGCACAATGGCTCACCAATAATGACTTGGGAGCTAATTTCTGTAAATTATGTCTTATTGTTGACACATGATTTACCTGTATGAAAACCAGTTATAATGATCAAATTTGTGTTGATATTTGCTTGAAAATATTTCGTTTTTGCACCTAATTTTCTGATTTGTAATGAGTTTTACAAAAAATGTTGACTGAGGGGTTAATTTGGAGAGAAATTGTGGTATAAATAGTATTATATAACTAATACTAAAGACAATAAAGAATATGTTGTTATAGCACCACCAGTTATAAATGGACACATTAATTTTCAGTTTTACTTACATTTTACCTTGCATTTTAAAAAACGTTTTAGCTTGGCGCTGCCACAGTGTGTACAGTTCTTAAAATAATTTCATCTCCCCTTAATAATTCATTGAAAGATCGTAAGACATCTGAAACACTTGAAGATACAGTGCAGAAATGAAGTTTTCACACAAAGAATGAAATCAAAAATGGCCCTTTGTTTAGATGATCATGAAGAGAGCAATGACACAAAACTTATTCATGATGAAGGTATTTTTACAAGACTATAAACACATATTTTGTTCATATTTTGTGAGCGAAATACACGATTTCTTTTGTTTTTTTCCTTGTCCTATCACTCACAGCAAAAATCCTTGATCTCAATTGTGACAAAACAATAATTTCATGCACATAACATTAAAATAATACTATTGTGATTTGCATTTCAATTTTAAATGTTTAAAAAAATTCATTTTGGATTCAATATATTTGGGGGCATTTTTTAACACTTTATTTAGCTAAATGCTTTATGAGGAAAATTAAATTTTTCCAGTAGATATTGAAGTTCAGAGAAAGAGTATTGAGTGAAGCAGACGTGGATCCATGGAGAGGGAAATTTTCCCCCTTAAAATTTTTCTGTTACTATTAATTTTAACTTGTCATGAAATTTTCAGGAACTATTTTTGGATAATAATTAAAACGAATAAAATTGTATTGCAGCATAGCCTATGACATATTAAAAAACTTGTTATATGATATATTAAACCAAATTATTTTTAATTTCCCCTCTCAAAATTTGTCTCTGGATCCAGGTGAAGTGAAATTCTGGCTTGGAATGTTCAGTTTGGATACTAGATAATTTATTTATCGAGGTGTTCAGAGAGATATGTTACATGACAATGAATGTCTGGATTATTGAAAGCGAAAGAGAAGAGAAAAAAACAACAAAGAAAGATTCAAGAGATCAATAATATTCTAATAAATGTTGATTGTTTTCTTCATGTTGTTGAGGTATTTTTAAAACCCTTCACACGAATAAGATCAATCTTTACCAAGTGTACAAATGTTTTAAAAGGGTCAAGATAAATGTAAATCAATTTAAATGTGTTTTCAACAAGGATAAGGGTGTGGTGTAAAATATATCAAGTTTAAAAGCTCAAAAAGGAAAGTTTATGCTTGGAAGATCAGAGAATTTCTTACAAATGCATTAAGTACAATTATCTGAATAACAAAATTTCTCATCACAGTTCAACATCTGATGACTTTTGAATGATACATTCAACAACACATAAACAATAAGGCATTGGCAGCACAAGGCAAAGTGTATTACGGTATTCACAACAGACAAGTTCTTGATTCCAAAGGAAAACTACACAGTTCCTAAAATCTGTGAAATGCATTAAGGACTAAAAAAACAAAAAAAGGTGGTAAAAGGCAACATTTAAAGAGAATCAAGAACCTTATGAACATTTAATACCATCAACAGTACCTGGTTGTCTGGTAGGTCTCTGAGAAGTAGAAAATAGTTTTGTGCTACTTTTGAGCCATGCATGAGAAAAATACCTATTAGTTAAGATTTTTTTGTTGTTGTTGCAATGCTATTTCCAGCAAATTAAAATATAATCATAAATAAAGTGTTAGATTTGGCACACTTATGGTAACCATTATACAAAAAATTATTGATCTCTCTAAAACTGTTAAAATGAAAGCACACATACCTACAAGATGTAATTCAAAAGATAGGCACATAGATTGTTCATTTTCATTAGCCATCATTAATAACTCACACTTGTTTTATTTTGTGAAGAAATTTGAGCCATACCATTCCTTTACACTGCTTGCAATATATATTTTTTCGAAACATACAAGAGTTAAACATGCCAAACACGTACTCCTTAAGTGTGAGCTGAAAATTTGTGTTCTCAGAGACATGAACATTGTACCCTTAAGACTATAAACTACGTATTTCACATCCTAAAAATATGTATTTAAAATCTTTTATTTGTAATTACTTCAGTCAAAATCATAAAGTAAGTTTCAGTGAAAGTGCAACACACATACATTTTCTCTACAAAGCAAAAGACACAGGCAAGGGAATGGCAGTGTCATAGATTTTGGATTCAAAAAGAGAATGATATGACTCATCAGTCTTAGTACTTCATTGTGCAAACTACCTTTATCATAATATTGATAAAACTATTTGAGAAACTATAACATACATTCAATCTTTACTTTCATAATACGAGACTTTATAACAAAACAAATAAAGTATATCTTTAACAAAAATAAATGCTTAATAAATTATCAATATGAGCAAGAGACTCTTAATTTATCTAGATAAACTACATACTTCTTAAATTGCTCATAAATGACCTGGATAATTACTTAAAAACAAACATCCACCTGAAAATTATAAAACAAAAATTATGAAAATATTTTTTGATATACTGAAAAGAAAAAAATATACCATTTTATGGTATAATCCAATGACTGTTTGTAGAACAAACATTTATCAGATAACACTTAGGAGGATTTTGTGGGACTGCGACAACAAATAGAAATACAGTTAATAGCACCACATTGACATCAAACATGCCATCAAAATGTGCAATTGAGATCACAACACACATTATTACAAATATACAAAAAGACTACATTAAGGCTCTGATTAAGTTTTCCTAGCACCTATCCGCAAAACAAAAATCATCCAGAAACTTCACAGTGATCCCTCCTTTGGTATTATTCTGAGAAATAAGTGATATTACGAGTTTGCTACAGCAACCTCTCCACCAACATCAGACTCTAACCCTAAATCACTTGGGCATGTGTCACTGAGGCTACTGCTATCCAAGTTGAACTCATCCCCTAGTCCCTCATCAATTACCGGATTATTATCTGAATCTTCATCTTCATCTTCACTACTTTCATGTTCATGATCACTTTGTTCCTCTTCATTCACTCCTCTACCTCCAATGGCACCACCACCATTAGCAAGACCCAACATATTTAATAGCCATGGTGGAAAAGGTTCAACGTTTATTTCTACTTCGTTATCATTATCTATGTCTTCTGCAGCAGCAAACAAAGGTATAAGATCATCTAAATTCTCAGGTAATACAATGCCCATGGCCCCTGCATTGTCATCCCCTACGTCATTACCACCTTCATTGAGAAGAGCCCTAACAGCCACTACATTATTTCCTTCACCATCACGATTGTTATTAGCAACGTCTCCGTTTTCGACATTCATAGCTTCCTCAAACAAAACATCAGGTTGAGGCATGACTAAAGGAAGAGGTTGAGGTAGTGGTTGAGGCTCGTTAACGCTATCACTGTCTCTGCTGGAGACTGAAACAGAATCTGAATGATGATCATGTGGGTGATCTGTCACAGCATCATTCTCTGTGAAAAGTTCATCCACTTGTTCAGGTGTGAGGTCAAGATCCATGTCTTGGGCAGAGTTAGAGTTGGGATAGCCACTATCTGCTAATCGATCATTGGGTTCTTCCAGTGAGATGCTGCCAGCAGCAGGGCTGTCAGTAAAACCTTCAAGTTTCTTATTAGTTTCAAAATTAGTACCCTGTGCTTCAGCTTGCAGGTTCAGGTACAAATTACTACTAGGACTAGACTTTAGGAAACGTAAGGGTGCATCTGTTTGATGATATGCTTCTACTAATACATTATTAGTTGTCCTTTCTGATGAATCCTGTGAAATTAATAGTGGTTGGGTGATATTATTACTCAAAAAAGAACTGCTTGAGTTAGCTATAACATTTCTACTTAATATCTGTTCATCACAATTTTCTACTTCTTCCTCCGACTTCATTTTGGTACTTTCACTTTTATCTGATGCACTAATAAAAAGTGGTATTGAATTTTCTATTTCTTCAATAATTTGTGCCCTAGAATTATCACTCACATTAGTGTGTTTAGAAGCAATGTCAACACCACAAGGTAATTCATAATCGGTGGCATTCTTGTCATCAATAAATGTCTTGACATTATCAGATGTGGTTGAAGAACAAACTTCATTAACTAAGTTGTGCCCAGAAGTAGATGGTACACTTTCCTCTCTGTATTCATCATTTTCTTTCACAGAAGAAAGTGTCCACGATGGTTCATTTTGCTTGCTCCAACTGTTATTCCAGGAAGCACCAGATTGAATATTTTGATCTAATGAATCACAATCCCATTTCTCTGATGAGGCATCTAATGAATAATCATCCCAATTCTCAACCCTGTGATGCTCCTGAGTTTCATTATATGTGCCTTCGTAAGTGACACACTCAACTGGATCTTCTGAAATGCTTGATTCATATTCAGGAAAAACTACTACATTTCCTGATTGTTGATCGTGAATGTTCCATCCTGCTTCTTTCAGTAGATCTCTGAAACATCAAAAGAATTCATTTACAAAGTGACAGATGGCATCTCTCAATAGGGTGCAACATTATTAACATTACATAATTTAAAATTAAGTTAGATCTAAGCATTTTCCATTAATGTTGTATTTTCTATATTTTTCAAATATAGGACATACAATTTTTCATTGTTCATAAATCAACTAAAAAGGATTAGGATGCAATGAAGAATATTAAACATTTGATTAAATATTCAGTCCCTACATTCATATAATGTAAAACAGTGTTTGTAATTAATTTGTTTACTTATTCACAAGAATTATCTGAAAATATAATTTGTTTATAGCATTTCACTATGTGTGTAATTAATACTTAATTATTCACTTTGGATTTTTTTTTACTGGCATTTAATATTATGGTATTTTAAGGTAACACATCTGGGTCTTCGATTATAATGTGACAGTCACAAACAAGTAATGCTTATCTGGTTCTTCATATACACATTAACATACACTGAAGAAAGTTAGCCAGCAAATAGTAAAACCATTAGGGACTTGATTCTTCTATTTATTAAATTTAAATAAAATCTATAAACCAGTTCCAACTTATGTTACAATTTTCCACCACCCATTTTTCAATGTACAATAAAGTGTTTGTGAAGAACAGGATAAATATTCTTACATGTTCTTATCCATTATATAAAATACAAACGAAACCCGCTTTCCCCGGCGGGCAGGTTCCGCCCAACAAGAAATTTTTAACGTGTCGGCCCCCAATTGCGAGTTGCTGACACGGCAAAATTGTCCTTTTGGCCCTTTAATAACTTGCAGATGAATGCCAGTGGAGACCTGCCCTCGCTTATGCGAACAGTAGACTAGGCAGGGTACTATTCTCATTTCTTTGTAAATTGAGTACCAAATTATCATATTTTTACTAAAACACTATTTACAAATACATACAGCACCAAAATACACAAAATCATCAATTTATCATTATGCACTTCCATGGTGTAAAGTTTTTTGTGCCTCCTGAAAAATCTCAAAATTGGACAAGTTTGGTTCTTGTAAAATATTCATCACATTCAAATAGTACACTTTAATTTAGAAAAAAATTTAGATATTTTTTGGAACATTGAGCCCTCTTAGCACATACACTCTCCCACAGTTGTAGGAGCTGCAAACTGCCATTAACTACATCGGAATCTGATGTAACTGCAACATTGCAAGAGCATCAAAACTTGAGTTGAAAGAAACCATATTGACAAATTCATAAAAACCCTCTCAGATCCTTAACCATCATAAAAACTATACAACTCTGTAATTTCAATTATTTGGTACATACCTTTTTGTTTTTAAGTCATACTTTTACTGACAATTCTAATTTAATGACTAATTTAAGTGTTGGATTTGCCCTTTTACTTTATTGCTTTTGTAGGTAAAGTTTGACAATTTCTCATTCACAAAGGAGAAGAATTACTTTTCACATACATTATTTCAAAGAACTCATGAATTTATTTTACTGATAAAAGTTTAATGTTCATGTACTTAACATTTCATTGCATGTTACTGTTGCTGTTATATAACGACTGAGCAGGACAAAGTTTAAAACTTCTAGTTCTAAGAATAATGATAAGGAAATTGCTCGTTGGCAATTACTTACTGAACTTCCTTCTCAGAAGTATTCCATTGTTTAACAAAAGGAAGAAGGCGTAATACAGGAATCAGAATTTGAGAATTTTCCATAAATTCCTCTGAAGTTGATAGCATTTGAAGAGAATACTCAAGTTGGTCCAAAATCTTCTGTTTTTGTGAGCGTGTATCTACATGAAAAGGATATTCATTTTTCCTCAACAATTGGTACTTATGTTCCGTACTATGAATCTGTGACAAAAGATGTTTAATTTGTGTTATGTTGATAATATTTTTTGATCTTATAAATTTTGTCATACACATTTTGAAAATAAACAAATACTTTACTCATATTCTTAAAGAAAAAATTACATCAGTAAACATTTTATACTATTACAATAATAATGAAGCAACCCTCTCTAAAATATCTCTTAAAGAGCAGTTTTAATTGTTAGTTCTTTTAATATTTTCCTCTAAATCTCATACGTTACTCAAAATAACACGAAGAATGTATCACTGTACTAACTCTAGCATCTTCTATAGAGCTTTTATCATTAGTGGTTGAACTATGTCTTTGAAACACAGCCATCTGTGAGCAAGCTCCTACATTTTCTGTGCCATGTGGACCCCATCCAATGCCATGAAAGGAAACTTTATAATCAGGATACCGAAGAACAATATTATTGCCCCTGAAAAGAAAAAAATATTAAATATCACTGCACTTTGAGGCAGAAAACATTGTTATATTTTCTTATAAAATCCATCGAAGCTATTTTGTAGTATTAAGATGAGAAAAGTATTAGAAAAATATCAAAATTACTTCACATATGAAAGATTGCTATCATTGTAAAGGAATTTTACAAACTGTATACATTAAAAGAATAATTGTAGAGGCTAATATTCAGAATAAATTGAAGTTAACTTAATTAATCTCTCTTTTAAAATGTAATTGGTGAGGAACATACCAACTCTTGAACTGAGCTCGAGTCCATTCAAATTTATGATCAGGATGTCTAAAACCTTCAGAATTAGGAAACAATACATTAAACTCTACATTCGGAGTTGTAAATATGGCCACCCTCGGTTTAATACAACCAAACACTGTATATGGCACTTCTTCAAGAACATCAGGATACAAATGTTCTATCCTGCAAGTTGAAACAATCTTTGTAAAAAAAAAAAAAATACAAATTGGAAGGACAAATATTGGAAAAAGGAAATGAATATCAAAAGGTAGGTATCAATAGAAAATGAATATCAAAAGGTATCAACGAAATTATTTCCTAACTGAAGGCAACACAATCATCAGTTCACATTATTTAATCTTTAAAAAGTAACATTTCATTTCTAAATTTCTAGTCCAGATTCATGGAAACTGAAAACATCATAAATTTAAACTTTCTCTTTAAGACTTATAAGGTCTTCTAATATTAAACATCTATAGAAGACATCCTTTTTCTATTTTACTTACAATTCTATACACACTACAGCATCACACCCTTCTAAACACTCATCAGTGTGAGCAATATTGCCTTCTAATACAAAGACAGTCAAAGGTTCATTCCGTTGAAATAGATAATCGCTATTGAGAGGTGAAACTTTACAATAGTTTTTTACTAAAACCTCATGGTCCACATCCACTTCTAAAACTTCCTGAGCACCTGCCAGTTTCTTCAAGTACAGGAAGAAACCTAACTCAGCACATCCAAATTCTACAATCTGGAAAAGGGCATGAAAATAAAGTAGGAAAGTGAAATAACAAGGAATCAATAATTTCTTAAATAATGAGACCTCAACCTTTCTGATGCTTCCTTTCCATTCTTCATCCTCCAATGCCCCTTTGACAGTGAGATAACGCTGCACAAATAACTGAGGAACAAATCTAGGACCAAAGCCCTCCTCAATATAACACTCACTTGATATAAGGTACTTGCCACCCTTGAATGTTAATGGATCATTATAATTAATTGCATATGATTGAAAACGAGCTGATAAAGTGTCTCTTAGTACCACATACACATAATGAGCTATGATGCAAAGTGTATGGAATGATGCAATCATTTCGAACAAATAATATTTTTATTATTAATGAAATCTGTACACATATCCCTACATAATTTCCTTCAAAATTAGAATCAAACGAAATCATAGTTCACAAGACCATGCTCCCTAATAATTTGGGAATGAAGTTACAATAAGAGACTTGCCAATTAACATTGCCTATATAAACAACTGTTCATTAAGTCAGAAACAAAACATGATTTTTGTTTACATCATCCATGTAACCAAAACAAGTCGAATAATCCACCAACTTCCCACCATGTTTTGATAGTCGAGAACATATCGATATATCGTCAACATATCGATGTATCTGTTTTTCGAATATCGTTCATTGCTGGGCAAATTCTTGATAACATGAAAAACTACGTAATTTTTTAAAAAAGAAGAAATGAAGTATAAAAGGAAGATTCAGAAATTATGTGACACTTTTATGAGTAGTGAAAAAATGTATTATTGATGACATAAATAGCCATCGATGTCAACGCTATCTGCCTTTCTAATAAGCAGTTATCGAGATCGTGGTAGTTCACTGAATCACCACTGAATAAAAATTACATTTATTTCTTTTCTTTGGTTAATAAATCACTAATGCGAAATAAAATAAGAAAGTCTCTGAAGACGCAAACGTGAATAATGTAATTTCATGCTTTACAATTCATTATTTCATACAATGTTATGCTTCATCATTCCGATAACTTGACTTCCCTTTCAATGTATTATCCAAATATGAGTAGAAAGAAAAAACGTTTCAACATTTCACACGATAGGATTCACACTTTTATTAACATTTAAGTATATAGCAAATATTTGATATCCATATTCTTTAAATTTTAAACATTGCTCCATTATGGTATCCTCCCATGTGGTCTAGTGGCTAGGATACCTGGCTTTCACCCAGGAGGCCCGGGTTCGATTCCCGGTTTTTCAACTTCACAGCGAGAGCGGACGCGTGAGTCTGTTATGATTATTTTCGCCTCCCATTATCAAGTGTGATAATTATCATGTCTCTTCATTATCCTTGTGACTAATCCTTGGCATTGGATTCTTCGTGTATGTGGCTCACAAACACGTTGTACTAGCTTCGTAAATGCCTAGCACGTGTACCGGAGTAAAATTTGCTATGATAAAGAAATAGCCTCAATTTAATATTAGCAAATATTTAAAAATAATATTTTAAAAGCCCTACTATGCCTACGATAGATACTAAATAAAGCAGTATCAATTAAAAAACTCCCAAATATCATTATATATGAATTTATTCCGAAAACCTCTCAAACTATCACAAAAAATAAATTGCATTTATTAAAAATAAGAATTCCCATTTAGTTATACGTAATATTCCAATATACTTATATAAGAAATTCCATTAAATATAATATATAAATTATATACTAATAATATACTATTATATATATATATATATATATATATATATATATATATATATTCAATTACTCAGTTGTCAGGCGTTACTAATATTAAGGCGCCCATGGCAAGCAAAGAACTTGCGCCCCCTGTCAGGGATTACTTTAAATTAGGGTTTTCGTTTTTTAAGTGTGAATACCAATTTAAAAATGAACGAAAATTGCGGTTTGACAAAAAAACTTTCCATG